CGACTCTGTCACCGCGGCCGAGGTCGTAGAGTCTGTGGCCAGAGAGGGGGGCTGCGCGGCCGACAGTATAAGATCGGGCAGGCTCACCGTCGGCCCGAGGGGAGATGGCTCACTCTGGTTGAGCGTGCCGGTGGCGGCCGCCAAAAAGGTGACCGACGCCGGCCGCGTTAGGGTCGGCTGGACCTCGGCCAGAGTGGTGCTGCTCGCCTCGCGGCCGACGCGGTGTTTCCGCTGCCTCGAGACGGGGCACATGGGTGCCAAGTGCCCGGGTGAGGTCGACCGCAGCAAGCTCTGCTTCCGCTGCGGGAAGCCAGATCACCGGGCACGGGACTGTTTGGCAGACCCGAATTGCCCCGTCTGCGAGGCGGCGGGCAAACCGGCGGGCCACTTAATCGGCGGCGACGGATGCGCCACAGCCGGGCAGAGGCCAACGCCCAGAGGACGGAATGCGCCGAAACGAAGGCCTCGGCGCAAGGCCAAAAAGGCCGGAGCGGAGCGAATGGATACCAGCCCATAAATGGCCACCATCCGCTTCCTACAGTGCAATATCAACCACTGCGCCCGGGCGCAGGACCTGCTGGCCCAAACCATGGCGCAGTGGTTGATAAATGTAGCGGTGGTTGCCGACCCGTACGTCATCCCTTCCCGGGATGACTGGGCGGGTGATGTCGGCAACCTGGTGGCCATCTCCGTTCCGGCCCGCGACGGCTCCCCCCCTCTCCGAAAGGTGGCGAGAGGGACGGGAAGCGTGCTCGTTGTCGTCGGGGGAGTTGCCATAGTGGGGGTGTACTTCCCCCCCAGTTGGCCCCTCGCCGACTTCGAGCGCGCTCTCGCAGAGGTGCAGGCGCTCACTGCACGAGTCTCTCACCTCCCCGTGATCGTCGCGGGGGACTTCAACGCCAAATCAACGGCGTCGGGATCCCCCGCGACGAGCCCGAGGGGGGAAGAGTTGGAGGACTGGGCGGCCGCGTCAGGATTGATGCTCCTCAACCGAGGAAGGGAGCTCACCTGCGTGCGCCGACAGGGGGGGTCCATCGTGGA